GGTTATTGGTTGCAAAAAGCCTTGTTTAGGCTCCTGTGCTCACGGATCACTACCTGGCGAAGTTACCCCCAACTTGTGTTTTGACGGATTTTTGCGCGCCACAGCGCCATAATGTCCTTGGGTCTGACTATTACCTGACAGTATGCTCACTCATACGGACATCTTTTCTTTTATAACTTTCATCAAAACGAAATGTTTTAACATTCCACAGAAGCTACGCTGGTATGCATATTTGATCACGCCTTTACAGGTGTGTCTCGTTTTACCGAGAATATACTATTTATTTATTTATTTATAATGAAACCTTTCTTAAATCTCTTCTGTAGATCAAACATAACTCATGCGGTCTGCTCAAAGCTGTTCCTTAGCCTCTCTATTTTGGACGTTCATTTATTCATTACTCGCTCCTTGCTTGATGCACAGCCGTCACTTACTCGACTGTGACAGCTTGCTAATTGTAGTTCAGCCCTCTCACCGGCTTCTCCCCGCTCAGGCTTCCCTACTCCTATCACATTAGCAGCACGGCAAGATTTCCTCATCTGCGCGTCGCCGCGTCTTCGCCTATTATTCTCTGAACTATTTATCAACCATATCGTATGCTTGCGCTTCATCCGTTCGCTGTCCTCTCTCCATAAAACCATTCTGAACTCCGTTTTGTGAAGCAAACATAACTCATGTGGCCTGCGCACAGTTGCTCCATTGCCTCCCCTTTCTAAACTCTATTTTTTCGTTGCTTGCTGCAACGTCTGTGACGCCTGCTTATGTAGAATTCCAGATCTTTCACAGGCATTTTCCAGCCCAGTATATCGTAGCACTAAAATCTTAGCACCATAACAGGACTCAGTATCTGCGCGCCTCTGACTCATATGCTGCGATGTCCTCAGCATGCATGCGCTCCGACTGTTTGATGTCCTTCCATATAAACTTTTCAGCTTTCTCTAGCACACCTTCTAACTCTCCAAGTCGGTGCTCAGCGGCTCCTTAGCATCTCTTTTCTAGACGTCCTCATACCTCTTAGTTGTGTTAACGTCTTCGAGTTTTTCACCTGTAAGCGTCCAGTTATTGGACTAGCTTTCCCAGCCTCTTTCCAGTAATAGCATCCCGGCACCATCGCATAAATTGTGAACTTATACACCGCCGTGGTTTAGCATTATATGATATGACTCTCTCAATCAACTCACTGTGCACTTGCATACTTCTTGTCTGTTGTCCTTTCTTTATTCGACCTTCTTTACCTCATCCGTCAATGCACAGCTGCTCCGTGCTAGATGAACAGCTGTCACTCGTCGGTGTCAGCTAATTACTTGTAGTTCAGCCCTCTCACCGGCTTCTCCCCGCTCAGGCTTCCTTAATTTTATTACATTAGCACCACGGCATGACTTCATCATCTGCGCGTCTCCACGTTTCGCCTTTTATGCTCTGAACTAATTATCAACCATATCGTATGCTTGCGCTTCATCCTTTCGCTGCCCTTTCTCCATAAAAGCTTTCTTAACTCTCTTCTGTGGATCAAACATCACCCATGTGGCCTGCGCACAGTTGCTCTACTGCCACTCCCTTTTAAAACTCCATTTATCCGTTGCATGCCGCAACCTCTGTGACGCCTGCTCATGTAGAATTCCAGATCTTTCACAGGCATTTTCCAGCCCAGTATATCGTAGCACTAAAATCTTAGCACCATAACAGGACTCAGTATCTGCGCGCCTCTGACTCATATGCTGCGATGTCCTCAGCAGACTTAATGTATGCGTGCACTCCGACTGTGTGATGTCCTTCCATATAAACTTTTCAGCTTTCTCTAGCACCCCATCTAACGCTCCAAGTCGGTGCTCAGCGGCTCCTTAGCATCTCTTTTCTAGACGTCCTCATACCTCTTAGTTGTGTTAACGTCTTCGACTTTTTCACCCGTAAGCGTCCAGCTATTGGACTAGCTTTCCCAGCCTCTTTCCAGTAGTAGCATCCCAGCACCATAGCATGAATTGTGAACTTATACACCGCCGTGGTTCAGCAATATATGATATGACTCTCTCAATCTACTCACTGTACACTTGCATTCTTCCTGTCCACTGTTCTTCTTTATTCCACCTTCTTTGCTCTCGTCTGGCGACCTTCTTTACCTCATTCGGTCAATGCACAGCTACTCCTTGCTAGATGCACAGCTGTCACTCCTCTGTGACACGTAATTAATAGTAGTTTAGCATTCTCTCTGTCTTCTCCCGGCTCATTCTTTTCTACTTTTATTAGTTTAGCACCACTGCATATCTTATCATATGCGCATCGCTGCGTCTTTGCCTATTTTTGCTCCAGTCTATTTAAGAGCCTTACCGTATGTCTGGCATTCATCTGTTTGTTGTCGTTTCTTTATGAAGCCTTTGTTTGCTGTCTTCTGTCGTGCAGGCATCTCCATGTATTCAGTGCAAGCCGCTGTTTTGCTTCACGCTTCTTACTGTTCATTTATCCCCTACCTGCTGTATTGTCTTAGCTCTTATTACCTGCAGTCATCCGACTCTCGGGCTAGCATTCTCTGGCACTATCCAGCTTGGTACCATTGTCTTAGCACCATAGCTGCTGCGGTTATGCCTCACTGCTCTGATACTCCAAGCAACCTTACTCTACGCTTGCATTTCGGCTATTCCCTGCCCTTCCGTCAATTAATGTTTCTTAGCCTCTTGGTTCTTCCCTCCTCTCAATTGGTCAGCACACAGACGCCCGTTAGCTTTATATTTCTAGGTGTTCATTTCTCACCATTTTCGTAGTACTCTAGTATGACTTGTTTCTCTGCGCGACGCTACATATACATTTGTTCCGGACGTTCGCTTTCCTTTAACTGATCTATAATACTTCACTTCTATCGGTCAATCTTTTTCATCTAGTAATCTGTGTCCGTTTTTGCAGCAAAAGTTTCGACACTTACCTTTGTAGTAGGTTAGCTTTCATAGGCTTTTCCTATTTCAATAGGCCATAGCACTATACTCCTAGTACCCTCGTGTCGTCTTTCTGGATTGATCACCCGATAATTTTTATTCAGCGCTTGATTTCTATCTATCCGCTGACTTACCATCTCTTTCGATGTAGGCTGGCCACCATCCGTCTATCCACCGTTCAAACGCCGCTGGTCCCTGAACTCTGCTTTCTACCTTTCCACGCAATAGTCGCATCATAGTAAACTGCTACTGCGTCTCTGCTTCATAGCGCAACGCTCTGTATTCCCTGTAGATAGTAGCAAACAACTTATAGGGCCACTGCTTTAGAAAAAACATTCAAAAGACACTTTCAGCACAATCATTGCTGCACATTGTACATCATTTGTCTTCACTCTAAATGTTATAACATAGGAGTTAAAGAATGTTTGTTTCCACGCCTGCGGCCTTGGTTGTCTCTCACCTTCCCTTTTCTCCGAGGTTCGGAACTTCCTGGGGATCTGGGATTGGACCGAGATACCGCTTTTGTCCGGGACAGAAAGACCAATAAGGACCTATGGAGCACATGGCAGTAAAACAAACGGACACAACTGTATTCATTACCATGACCGTTGTCCAATTATGATAACTGGACTCGATAGCTTTACACTCCTGAAAAATCCAGACGCAAGTAATTGACGTTTCGCCCACCTGCATACCCACAAAGAGGATTCTTCTTGAAGCCCCCATCCTCGATTCGCCTCAGCCATTATGGCGGCCTTGCCCATGATACCTGCCCAAATAACAGAGAAAATTGAAGGTCATTTGACTGCGGATATCTGAGGGTGAAATCAGTCGGAAACCTGGTCTGCCAGTTATATATTAGTGCACCAACAAATTTCTGTCCGTGTTCCAGGACGTAGTGGGTTTTCGCCTGGCAAGCGTTCTCCCTATAAGAAGCCACAAATGTCCGCATAACAACACTGCAACGTGGCGGATGTGAATCGCCACTGAATAAAGTCACTGCCCAGAACTACCTACTGGCTAGTCGACCAGAATCATTATTCAATATTGCCCTGACACTTTCAATACTGATCTACACCATGCCTATATATATCGTTTTCATTACACATGTAGTGCCTTAACTGTTTACACTACACACTCTAGAATTCAACGTTTCGTCATTCATTGATGACTCTATCCCTCATGACTACTTACACAATTTCCGCAGCCTGTACAACCTTCGGCTTACTGCCGACTACACTCATAGCAACGTGTTTGTTGCGAAGCAATATTGCATGTAAATATTGATCATGCCTTACTTGGTGTGTCTCGACAAATTCGAGAATAAACTATTTATTTATTTATTTATTTATTTACTATTCGAGACGTTACCCTCCTCAACCGGCCTCAAGAATCATGGCGTCCCCCATCAAATTACCTATCCAATTAACAGAAGAAATTAGGAGCCATTTGTCTGCGAACAACCGAATATGATAGCAGTCGTCAAATGGCTTTGCCAGTTCAACATTAATGTACAAAATGCTTTACGACAGTGTTGCAGGACGTGGTGGGTTATCGCCTGGCATGCGTTCTCCCTATAAAAAGCCACAAATGTCTGTTTAACAACACTGCGACTTGGCGGATGTGACTCGCCACTAAATAAAGTCACTGCCCACAACTACATGCTGGCAAGTCGACTAGACTCGTATTTCAACTCATCCAAACACATGCAAGAACATGATACTCTCCGTCTACATGCACCGCTTCATTGCACTTATAGTGCCTTGACCGTTTCAACTACACACGCTTGAACCCGAAGTATCGTCGTGATACACAACTGCTTTTAAACCTTGAGCATGCCTGATTTGGTGTCTCTATGAATTTTAGCATAAACTACTTATTTATTTATGTCACTCATAACAGAGAGTAAGCGACAATTCGTGCAGGTCTCGAACTAGCACTATACATGCCCCCGTACTATTTTTTGGAATAGCATGATGAGTCATTGAAGACGGAATTGCTACCTTGGTATTTATGCTTCCAGATGTTGCACAAATAAATAAATAAATAAATGCTTATTCTCGGCTATGCGAGGCATGCCAGCGAGGGCCTGATCAAATAAGTGCAATTATACAGACATATCATGGCAATTGTCACAGTGACAATCGGAGGTTTTTCATACGTTCCTATTTGAAACTGTACAAATGTGACAGAAATATAAAGGAAGAAAGCCCATTGACATGAGTTCGGGCACGTTCGTGTGGGTACATTCGTTCGGCCATAAAGTGCAGTAACAATTCAGGCATGAATAGATCCAGAACTAGAAGTGAGCAATTATAAATAGCTGATGAAGAACACGCTCAATCGCGATTACACGATACGCTGGGTTTATGTGAGTGTAGCGTAAAGAACAATGGTTATTGCGCAGAAAAAGACGTTGTGACGAAATAGGCAGATAAGAAAGTGTCGGGTTGTATCCATTAGGGTAGTCTAGAGTCATGGTCAGCTTGTCAGTGTGAGCTTATTGGCAGTGATTTCATTCAGTAGCTAGTCACCTCCGTCACGTCGCAGTGCTGTTAAACGGATATTTGTGGTTTTTATAGGAAGAACGCTTGCCAGGCGAAAACCCACCACGTTCTGGAACACTGCTATCAACGCATTCGAACGACAAGCTGCAATTGGCGTGCTTCTTATTGACCGATTATTGGTTCCGTTAGTCGCAGTCAGGATACACCCATAATTTTCGCTGGCTGATGCATGATGGGGCGGGACTGTATCATACATGAGTCCTGTCACTTCCTGACGAAATGGCACGGCTTGTAGGGTAGGTGGTCTATAAATCGAACATGCTGGCATGTTTTGTATTTGTCGTCGGTAGAACCGCGTAATGTCTATGATGGGTATCCAGTTATATGTTGCTGAACCAAATATTAGAGGAGAATGGCCAAACGCAACCGTTCAGGCCCAAGAAAGCTGCAAGTTGTCCTGAATAATAAACAGAAAAGCCTTCCAGAGTAGGTTCACTTGATTGAGGACCTTGGCATCCATGAACATATGGACGGTAAAAGTAAGGCGGGGAGCTCCAGATGTGGTAAGTGAAAAGAATTTCAGTAGTGTAAGGGTACGAACCCATTTGTTCTTGCCATAGTGAGAGTATTGTGTGTGAAAGAAATGTGTTGGGATATTTCCAAATTACGTGCATAGCACATGCAGGAAAATCTGCCCTCCGGTTAGATGAAATGACCGAGTTGACACTAAGTGTCAGCAACTCCGAATAAGAGTTATGTGAGGAAGAGGCAAGCTGAACCCAGTTGTTCAGGCCTTAATATAGTGGCATCCATCCAAGATAACAGGTAAGTGTTTTGTCCATCCGGTAAGTACCAAGGCAGCGTAATGATTATCCATCCATTTCCAGATGAGGGAATACTGCGCTTCGATGAAGTGTTGAGGTCAAGACAGTGGACGTATCCTCGGGTTCTGGCCACCGTTTCTGTGGAAATCTCGAAAAAAGAGACAACGAGCAAAGACAGGCACACAAACAGACAACAACGATGCATCCGGCACTCAGAGAAAATGATCAGTCGCAAAAATGCTCTCACTAGTGAACCTCACATTATTTGTATCCTTATAAACTAAATATCTCATGTACATGTGTTTCATAAAAAGTTAGATTAGTCGTGCCATGAACAATGAGCATCAGAGAGCTGCGCGATATCGGGGAGCGAGAGGCCGATCCGAAGTGTTTGGATTAGTCGGTGGATTACTACTAAGTCGTTTAATTAAATAGTGAAGACGAGTGGTGAGGATCAGGGTTAGGAATGAAATAAGCAGTGATAATAAAGCATGAGCAAGTTCAGCAAAGTTCTCGGGGGAAGCAATGCTTTGGGTATGCAGCACTTAGCTTATATACGTCTCAGTAGTATTGATGAAGTCAGAAATACGGTCAAAAAAGAATAGATTAAGGCAAAGCACAGAGATGGCCATCCATTTGCAAACAATCAGAGACCAAGATAAGGAACGGACAGGGTAAGATAGAAAAAGCCTTTAATTAGGAGAGTGAAGAAGTCAACGAGGCTTTTGAGAGACTAAGCAGTCAATTAGGACAGCCGAACTAGGAAAGGTAACGTTTCATAATTTCGAGTGAATTCGGAGTGCATGGGGCCGATCAAGCGAGGCTGGAGTGGTCAGCGCGTTGGGTTTGTGACTTACAATGAAGGCAAGAAAAACGCTAGAAAAATATTAAGTGAAAAAATGTAGCAGGCACTAGAGGTAGGGAAAACGTATAGCTGAATATGCAAAGACGGTACCACTGAAGTCTCAGTAACAAAAGAGTAGTTAGAGAAACTGACAGGTCAAGTGCGGCTAAATCACGGTAAGGCAGTAAAGCTGGCCGTCCGATTAAAAAGGGGAATGAAAACAGAAAGCGAGATAAGAAAAGGTTAGGGTCGGTATGAGAAAGGTTTGCTGATAAGGAGTGGAGGGGCCCACGAGGCTATAACAATAACGAGGGAACAAGTCTGGCAGTCCTCAGAGTAGGGGTAACAGAGTTAACTCTGCGGAGCCTATACTGTTTAAGTTTTGGTAGCATGGGAGCAGTCGGAGAGAAACAGGTTAGTCCAGTGAGACAGGATCACGGCAGGGCTGTAAAGCTGGCCGTCCGATTAAAAGAATGGAATGAAAACAGAAAGCAGGATAAGAAAAGTTTAGGATCGGTAGGAGAAAGGTTTAATGATAAGGAGTGTGGGCTCACGAGGCTTTCCAGGTGATGTAAACAAGACGTTGAGTCAGCCTAACCAAGGTTTGTAACGTCGAATAACTCTGAGTAAAACTGGAAAACAAGTGGCCGATCTGGCGAGACTTGATTAGTCGGCGCGTAGAAATAGCGCGTAAAAATAAAGGCAGGAAAAGGTCCGAAACAATGGTGGGTGAGCGAGTCAAGCGGAATCTCCGGGTAAGGGAACAAGAGCGTTGAGTCTGCGTAGCGTATACCGCTTAAGTCAGAGTAGCATTGGAGCAGTCAGAGAGAAAGAGGCTAATCAGTGGGACTAGATCACCTCAGATCAGTAAGATCGGGCACTCCAGTTGAAGAAGAAATGAAAACAGAGCGCGATAATAAAAGGTAGGGGCAGGATGAGAAAGGTTTATTGACGAGAGATCTGAAAAGCCCACGAAGCTCTCCAGGTAATGTAATCGGGTAGTTGAGTCAGCCGAACCGAGAGAGGTGACGTCTCGGAAGTCTGAATGAATCCGGTGAGCAGGAGGCCGATGGGTAGGACTTGATTAGTCAGCGCGTTTGGATAATGACATGTAGTAAAGGTACGAAAAGTGTCAGCAGTAAATGGTGGGCAAGTCTAGCAGGTTCTAGATTTAAGGGAAACATCATGTTTAGACTGCGGGGCGTATACCGCGTAAGCCTCAGTAGCGTAAGTAAGCCTTTGGGTGCCAAACATCATGTACGCATGTACTCCCATTGCGCGCCATCCAGACGTCAACAACTGGCCTTCATTAATGCTTTAACTGTTAGCGGACAAAAAGACCGTGCGTGTTTATTCCGAACTGCTTCTTTGAACTAGAGTACCGCGTAGCTCTTTAATCAAGGTTTACCTATAAATTTTATCCGAAGAAGCGAACTGTACACTAATGAGCGTGTTAACCAGTTCGACTAAAAATAATTCCCCGGCTACCTAACAGATACCCTTATATGCAGGCCAAGTCCCAGGCCATCCAGTTTGTGGTGCGCAAAGTTATTAGCTCTGTTGACTTTAACTAATCTTAAGGTATTCTTTGCTGATGTAGAGAAACGCAGCTTCATACACTTTACTACACAGGATACACACTGAATAGCTTAAACGTGTACCTTTCCTGCACCTGATCATAATTGAAAAACTGCTGACAAAAAGCTAGCGATCCTTCTCTTAAACCCTATCCACTACAAGCTAAACTTGTTAGTTTTTCAAGGGATACTAAGCTAACAGTTTGGCGTAAAAGAGACCCATGTTATTACGTTATCGTAGGAGTTATCCACCTTCTATTAAGCTATCGGACGCTACACATTGGTTTGGCAGCTGGTCAACTTGCTCCCCAAGAAATTATTCTACATAATCGCTTTACTTCTGCATTTTACTTACGAGATAAATAGATGTCATCTTCAACCCGATTGTGACTGGTGGTGATAATACCGAGACTGCGGCTTACTCGTCTGTCGCGTAACAAAAGTAGTAATACAGTTAGCAGAAGTAGCTATTTATGGATAGATGGGACATTTTCTGACTATCCTAGTATTGAAGAGCGCAGTAAGAAGACGAAGACTGGCAAATGCACGCATTTCGTATTGTCTCATCAGTGTCTTTAACAATAACTCGCAATAATATTTATTTATCCTATTACAACACACCAATTCTCGCCTCCTCCGTCTCGCAGAGGCGATTGCAATTAACCGAATTAAGCCGATGCTTTGTGTTCAGAAACAATTATCGGTCAGCATTAGACTGCCTTGGGGATAAGGGTGATAACCCTGTCTCACTTATCACGTGTTGGTCTATTTATCTGTTTGTATGTATGTTTGGTCGCACCCTTCACGGAATAAATATTATTGCGAGTTATTGTTAAAGGCACTGCTGAGACAATACGAAATGCGTGCATTTGCCAGTCTTCGTATCCTAGTATTCGCAGCGCCGCGCGACCCGGTTTCTGCATAAGCTCACCGTATTAGGCTAGGTTGCTTGTATCTCATGGGTGTTATACTTATGCAGCATGCAGGTACCATCTTATTATCGTGTTGGTCGTTGACTTCTTAAAGGGAACACTGTTGGTATTTACTACTCGCGATAAAACTGGTGCCTCATATACTGTATGCTTGCGTAGTAACGTAGACGAATGTACCAGTTAAGGTTAGTAGACATCGTGTTTACATGACGTCAATCCCCACCTTAGGTAATTCGTTGGATACGACAAGCAGCAATGGTCGAAATAAAGTTGGCCACAGCTAGCAATATAGGTAGGCGTTATAATCCAGGGTTTTATAAAATTTCTTGTCTTTTGCTGATGACGTCGAGCGGTAACATACTGTAACTGACTAACGATTCACGAAGCTGAATAACAACACTGACACTTTATGAGCAGTTCAGCTTTCTTTAACCTTTTATCATGCCACGCGGCATCATGTTACGATAATTGGCACTGACTGTTTTATTGTACTTGCGATAATTATTCGAAGGATGTATCTAAGATGGCGTTATTTTGTGGTTATATTTTTGTTTAAGCCCTTTTTGTTCAGCCCTTTAACCATGACCTGCGCCTAAATATCCAGTCCTTCTTTCGCTGCGCCGCCTTTACTGAGCCTCCATTACTGCCATTGTTCAAACTTACCTGGATCTAATTTCATCCGCCTGCAGGTCTATTCACCTATTCGTAAGTCACCACTGTAGCTTTGACTTTTAATGTTGGTAGAACCTCTATTCAGTTGGTACAACTTATTCCGCTCACCGCTCTCGTTTTTGACTTTCCAGACGGTGCGTACGTCTGATGCTTAGGCTTATAAACCAGCAGTAACCGACGTAGCTACAAATTTGGATAGCTTGCCTCGCATATTAATGGATACAATCGACCCAACTCTTATAACGTTGAAGCCGCAAAATGTTTGCGCGTCGAACCCAGAAGCTTCACAGGAGCAGTTGGCTGCAGCTTTACTTAGGATAAGCGAATTAGAAAAGGGTTCCCGGAATTGGAACTAAAGTAACGTCTCCTGGATACGATACATCGAATAATGACTCACAATTTCACCGCGGTGACCTTGATGGTAACATGTTTTGTAGGCCACCAGTTGATAGAAACTTTGTGTCAGCACGGGACGTCGGCTTGTTGGTTCAGTCGCCTGGCTGTTCCGTGGGAGTGGGTTTTCGCGGTTCGGATCCGATATGGTTTTGGTGGACAACCAACTCAGAAGTCGTGTCCGACGGGAGATCGGGGCTGTTCAGTGTTTGTCAGGGCTGCCAAAGCTAGCAACCATCTGATTTACCCTGGAGCACATGCGCTATTGAACCTTTATTCGCAATTTCCAAACTGGTGTGATGAAGGCTTCGGCAAATCCGGAAATGGGGCTGTTCTATTTGAGCAACTATCGTGAGAGACACGCTAGGGAAGCAGACGAAAGTTTCGTAATCCTAGACCTCGAGGAAGGCATCCGAGACGCACTGGAAACTTAGAGCGTAAACTCCGGCCGTCCGCACTTAATTGCTCAAGCCCATATTAGCTATTTAGTGAAGGGACCTCAAGTGAGGGTCACTGATTCCGAGCGGCTACACGAAAAGACTATGCAAATGAAGACGTGCCTGAACACACACCAGCAGCTGAATTACGAAGCCGCTTTAACTGCAACCGCAACCGTAGCAGCAATCGTTGGAGGCTTTCCTAGGCTTTGTAGCGCGACTGGTCATAAAGGTCTTCCGGTTTAATGTGATCGTGAAGGGAGCCCATCTTCACGGATCAATACCAGTGCGTTTGCGAATGCGCCAACGCTACTGAAATTCATGCGTTGTATTTGGTAGAAATGGCGTCTAAGCGATAAGTGTTTCAACGGACTAATCGACTGGAAACCCGGGGAAAAGTTAAACGCCTTAATAACGAAAATAGTGATCTATCCGCGTCGTCTAGTAACACCGCCTTTATCGGTATGCATAGTACCATTATTTAGACCGTTGTACCCGGTTTCTATCCGCGAATGACGTTCAGCGGTTAGAGGTCTTATCTCGGAAAGGCTTATGTTTGTTTTGTGTGATGCGAATCATTCATCGGATAATTGTAACCCTTGGTACGCTTGTGGGCTGGATGGCTGCCAGCTAAAACATTATACTTTACTGCACATGGTAAGCACAGTTCAGACGCCTCTGCCGCAAGCTACAGTTTATGAAACGGTAGCGTCCGTATGCCCGGTCGTTTTGGAACTGCTTCCCACCAAGCTTCGTTGGAAAGACAAGACGAGATTAACGAATGCACTGTTGTATCCAGGGTGTCGGCCGGTGGCCGAGTGGACTGTACGTTTGGTTTGCAACCGTAAGGTCACCGGTTCGTATCCGCGTAGGGGTAAGCGTCCTCGCGGTATACTCAGCCCGCGCGCGACTAGTGGTGGTCGCGCGGCAGCGAAACGCCGTTACGGCGTACAGCTGACACCTTAACTTATTTATTATTACTTTGTATCCAGGGTCTGACTCATCACTCGTAAAAAGCAACTATTACGGGTGATTAACCTAACGACTGAATCGTGTTTACTTAAAAGATCTACTGTCAACGGTGACATGCAGGTTTACTCACACGTGGCAAAGCTAAAGTTGGACGGAGAAACTCCTCTTTCCTCGGCTCGTGCTTGGTCCGTTAAATAAATGCCTCACGTCAAAGGAAGAATACCTGGGTCAAAGGACTGAAACGTTGGACATATATATATATATATATATTAAGGTAGACTTCTAGAGTTGGCTAGAAGCTTGACTCTCAGGTGTCAGATAATAATGGACAGTAATCACATGCTCTTGCGTTAGTAATAATGGAGTTACGTTTATGTACTCCGTGAGCGCCAGTACGACACCAACGCTGTAAGAACAGTCTCTCAACCATATTTATTCCAAATCCACTAGCCGTTTCGTTAACTTACGGGTCCAGGTAAATTGTGGGCTCATGGAAAGAGAGAAGAAAAGCGTTGACATCAGCAATGTCAAAAAAGAGACTTGTAGTGATTTATAGTACAAATTAGTGGTAATATTTTTAAACAAATGGCTTCTAAAAGCGGACTGCACTTCAGCTTAATTAGCTGGAAATCCTAAAGCTAGAATAAAACAAACATAACTGCCTAAAGGGTGACCGCGACAGCCAAACTCAAAGAGCTTTACTCGCAGCCAAAATTAACACCGGTTTTGTAGCAAACGTTTTGCTAAAATAATAACGGAAAAAGCTAGTCAGAACGTCGCTAAATAACTGTACGTGCTAAAAGCAAACTTACTGCAATGCTTGCATTATTTCTTGTGTGCTGTAGCGACTGCCAGTACCAAAGCTAAAAATCTTAGTACCATTACGGTATAACCTTCCGAGCATTTACGGTGAAATTAAGCAATATTATAAACAGTGGTTTATTGCTGTTGGACCTCGATGGAGCTGCGTATCTAGAAGTGCACCATACAGCTCAAAAGTAGCAGTACCTACGACCTACGGCGCAGTGGCCACTAAACACATTTTCCAAGCGTACGTAATAAACCTTGGATATGTAAAACATATGCAGGGAAACGCTCCGTAAGCGCTGTAGGATATTACCCTGGCGCGTAATTACGTGCCTCTTTGTAATTAGACCATGGTCAAAACACTTCAGTGTTTCATTTTTAGAGGCTAGTACGTCGAAGAAACCACTGTATAAGTAACCTCACCAGAATTATTTAACCACAAGCGGTTGTAAAGGTTGTCCCGCGGCTACTCGAACCTGGTCTAGATGGATAAGCCAGGACAGCTCAGTGTCAACTTGACTCGAATGAGCCTATAAACCCTAACAACTTTTATCCAAATTCTGCATGATTTGTAAAGGTTAGCTCATTTTATGCATCGCTATACATGGATCCACACCACCAATAAGCTACATACATCTATCGTCGAAAATAAACAAATATGCATCCGAAAAGTGGCAAACTGCTGTTCAAAGTGTAATGCACTAAAGTCTGCACGGGTCGGGCCTCGAGAACAGTTTTCCGTGGTTAGGGTTTTCCGGACTGAAGCATTATTGTGTCCCATGTGTTGGGATGCTTTACGGCGCTACTATTTGCACTTTATGAGCATTCATTCCAGATTTAGAGGTTAAGTATGGGTGACATAGACACCAAACAAGGCTAGTGCCACACAAGCTATCGGGTCCGTGTATATCCTGATGAGCGCTATTCGAGTTTGCTAGACAACATAAACGAATAATATTCTAAGTCAGGAACAGCAAAGTACGCAGGAAATGGGAGCTGGTTTTCCACCCACCTCTACGTATGAAGAAGGGTGAGCAAGGTGGATAATT